ACAGTCTTTTTTCTGAAAAGATTTTTTTCCCAAAATGTGGTCTGAATTCCTTGTTAGCCCGACAGACATTGCTTCCTCGCTCTCTATCCAAGGCTGTATTGTATCTTTTGACAGGGTCTTATCAAATATACAGTATCTGTCTTTTAAATGTAGAATGTCGTGAGCAAGTAAACATGGGGGCACTCAACGTTTTTGCAGAATTGCTCAAAAGGAGATGAATTCCTTCCTTAAAATTACATTCTTAGCAAGTAATTTTTTTGACCAAAGGGTTCAGATGAGTTTTCCAGATAAAGAATCCTCTCTCCGTTCTGATGTTCCTATTACCACAACATAATAAAAATGGCCACAAGCCCAGCCTGTATTTGGCAACCCTTTATAGCTTCACATATTTGACCCTATCTGCAGCTAAAAACCATTTGTCATATCTACTATTTTGACTTGGGTCTTCAATATTATTTTTATTAAGGGTGGGTTTCTAAAAGGAGCAGGAAGGTGGTGCAATACTTCCGTTTGCTTCCTCACAGACCTGGGGTGCCATGTCCATGGATTTTGTGTGTTCTCTCCATCTTTGTGTGTGTTTCCTCTGGGTGCTTCAATTTCCTCTCACAGTCCAAAGACATACAGGCAGGTTAACTGGCTTCTAGAACAATCGGCCCTGGTGACTGCTGCCCTGTCCTGGGTATACTGTACCTTGCGCCAGTTGCTTGGGATAGGCATTTGGCTCCCCGCGATCCTGAACTGGATATTGCAGTTAGAAAATGGAACAATGGATTCCTAAAATTTCTTTTTTTTCTTTTAATTGGAATTGTTTTTGACAGATTTCACAATAAGATAGTGCAAATGGTTACAATAGTAAGAAAGATTCTCCAATGAGCTTGAATTCTAGCTGCTTTCTATCCTGTCAATGAACAGACCTTTGGGAAAAAGCTCTTTGCAGTATATGAAAGACATTCCAACTAATGAATGGTAACTGTGGAAAGTGACACAGTGTCCCAGTATGGTATTTAATAAGTGTTTTGAGAATCTACTGTAACAGTGAACTCAGTATAGAATACTTTACCAGTATAACCAGTATCATCCTAATATTTGTCACATCTTCTAAGAAGCAAAACAGTTCAGTGGGGCAAAACTATATCAATCTTCATATGAATTGTATCATTAAGGACTTATGCTAAAGAATGAAGTCAATTTCTAAGACAAAAACTCTTTTGTCTTCATATATTTAGTATCAACAATCTAATGTAGAGGACTATCCGATCTTACGACACATTCAAAGCAAAATCAGCCACAATTGAAGTGGAAAGTTCTAAATACACAGGAAGACATCCAGGGGTTCTAAGAATAACAAGGCATTATCTCTGAGTGTTTGGCTGTCATGGAAACACATATCAAATGAATCCATATTTCCAGGTAGGAGCTCTTTCTTTATGGAAAGAAAGGTAAAAATAACCACAAAATCATTATGTGCAAACAAGCTTTTGGTCTGCAAATCTACTGTACACGACATAAAACACTTAATTATGATCACAGCTCTTTATAAAATTAATTAGCAATAATATGTCCATTATTTTACAAAAGGTACTCTGAAACAATGATGCCGAAAGCATGCTCAATGAAATTATCTGCACTTTTGTAAGATGCTTTACGAGGCATTATTATGAGATATGTATTGACTTTTATTTTTCTTGTTTAATTGTCTGGAACTCCTTACAAATCTCAACTCTAAAAAATAATTATAATGTTGACTGCAGTCTCCTTGAAACAACAGCAACCTAGTGAACAGCAGTCTGGGCAGTTATTTATAAGCCAAGCATGAATGATCTGTGTACAGTATGTCCTTCAATATCTGATCGCCACAAAAAAGAAGTACATACAGTGACTCAGCCATTATTGTGGCATTTTTTAGCACTTTTCCTTTGGATAAAAAAAGCAAGACTATATGAGATCATTCTTGAAGGTCACTGAGCTGTGTCCAATTGCTGACCTTCAGAAAGTAACTCAATTCTGACTGTTTCTTTTCTCAAAGAGTCCATATTTACTAGTATGCTAGTAAGGATTTTAAAATGAAACAGATTTACATTACCTTTCGAATTAAGAACTGCATTTCATCTGAAATTAGTACTTTGGCTTAATTATCTTGCAGAGGAAAAAAAAGAAATTAATATGAAGTCATACATAAAACATAATTCACAATGATTATTCCAAACAAGTCATTAACATTGATTGATCAACTGAGCTTGGTTGATGGCAGAAACAGTAGGAATTAGTATTAAGAGTTTTCTTTCCATGGTCATTAAGTACTCAACAACAGTGTTACACTTAAATGATATATTATTTGCTCAGGTCACAGGCACTATGTCCCAAAGGTTTCTCAGTAGTCATCTTAAAGAAATGTATCTGCATGTGTGCCATACCTGCAGGTTTTAACAGGAATGTCCTACCTAAGCCATACAGTGGGGCAAGACTGCAGATTAGTCCACATTTGTATCAGAATATGTACTTTTTAAATAAGGTTTTCATGGCTAGAGGGTACCTATTAAACACTAACACACAACAAAGTGAACACTCATTCACTTTGTTCATCTCCAATTCAAGTCTCACATTCTAAGACGGTTCAAAAGAAAACGCTTTTCATTTTGCTTGTCTGTAACTGCAGTGTCTCCATCTGATGACTTATTACTTATACAATAAAGAGGACAAACTAATTTGGAACAAAAAACAGCCTAAATGAATGAAATACCCTCATTCGGGTGTGTTGCCTAAGGAAATTCAGGTGTGCTCCCACTGTGAGAGTGTCTGATACAGGGTCATTCCAACCTGTGTTTCTTCATCATAAGTTCATCAACTAGTAAGAGCTTTTCAGTCAGAAATATGGGGAAACAATCTGGCGAGAGGCTGTGTAAAGCTCTGTGTGCTGAAGATGTTAGAAACAGGACAGCTGAAGTCAAGTATTTGTGACTCTCAGGACAGACTAAAGAAACAAGTTAAATACTGTACAAGTCTAAACAAGGAAGCAGACCAATGAAGTCCTCAATCCGCAGTAGACATGTAGCTCCTGGACCAGGGCTGAAACCACTGCTATATACTACATAGTAAATTAATATAATTCAAAAGTAAAATCTGAATAATGCGAATGATCAACTAAACAAGCTACTGTCATTGCTGAAGTGGGTGTCTACTGCCATTTGCCTCCCAGGTTTTGTTAAAAAGCAGAACAGACTTGTTTGGCAACTTGGCGCAAAAGAACTTGGTCTAAATGCCACTGTGATTTTGTTATCACCTTTCTCTCTTCATTTCTCACTTTTCTTTGTAGACTGAGACACAGCGTGTACGGTATTTGGCAACGGCAGGGATGGAGGCAGTATTTGCCTGGAGCAATTTATGACACTGGAAATGCAGCTCAGGCCGAGGAGAAGAAGAAGAAAAGTACTTTAACACCGAACCTTCGCATCCCACTGAGACGGAAACAAATGCTCAGCCCCAAATATATTTAGGCAGTGGGAGGAGCTCTATGGGAGAAAAAAATGAGAAATCATTCAACATGGGCACCAAAATGGTGTTACTAAATAGGGGTTCATGTGCAGGTCAAATTATAATCTTACACTTCCACATCCCTGCGCATAGAAGAGCCTGGCTGAACACCTTTCTCAACCCCCTGCCTGTACCTCAGATTCATCACTGGAGCATTTTCTCACAAAGTCAGGGAGGATGTGATCTCTGATCAGCTCTGTCATTTCTCCCGTGCGGAAATTTCAAGCCAAACACTAAGCACATTAGCCCTTTACCATGCGTTCATTTCCTTGTTTCGTCATTATTAGAATTCTCAAACATTCAGTAAACATGCCAGATTATTTGAAACCTGTACTGGATTTCTGATGCTGTAACTGCAGTCAAAAGGGCACCATACACAGCGGATTGCAGACCAGCCCTTTGTTTCCCTTGGGTCAACAAGAAAATGAGTGTGTTTAACCTTCTGCACCCTGAGACACCTGAAAAAGCTGTCTTGGTTTAAAAATCATTGCCATTGCTGTCGGTTGACTGAGTTATGACTAATCTGCCCCACAGCTGTCCACGAACGAACGGGGAAGATATAAACAAACACCAGGGAAGCACATTTTGCACGAAAGAAACAGCCCACAGCTATCATATGAATGGTTTGATGCAGATTGGCACTGACAGCCTATAAGGGATTTTACTACAGATTGCTGTTACATCAATAAGACATTACACATAAGACACAGGATGAATATTTGTATGAAACTGGCAGCTTTGCATTTCAATAAGAGAACAGTGTTTTAATAGCACTGAAAAAAATATTACAAGTGGTGTACTGACGGTATGGATAACTGTGAAAATAAGTGTGAGTAACTTGGCAATCACAGCTTAGAAAATGCAGCTTAGTTCCAGAGGTGGAGAAACATGAAAGGAAAACCAGAGATGGCACTCTTTCAACAGCAATCTGTGGAAAACGACAAAATCCCACTGAGGAGACACCAATCACCCATGAAAGCATTGCTAAAACACTCTTAATTTGAACTTTTCCTTATACTGTTTGGCTACATGTACGTATTCAACTTTAAAAAGAACAAACAAATTTGCAATATGAATATTGCCTCTCTCCCCAACCAGTAACGCCTAGACTTTCACCTCTTCCAGCACACTGACTTGACAATACTGAATACGCACACTTCCAGGACAAACTCCATTGGGCCTGCCACCACACTTTAAACTGCAATGCAAGAGACAGAAGCCTCTCACACAACCAACCCCACTCACTACCAGTGGGTCTAGGGCTGCTTCCTCTCACAGCCAAGAACTTTATCCCTTTATCTACAGTACCACATTTTGATTACTGCACTACAGTACTGATTCTCCGTCCACTGAAACTGAGTGGTGTGGGTTCTTTTTTCCCTAGGCATTGAAATCAGAGACTAACAACCAATCAATCCAACATCATCACACCAGTGGGGAACTGTTGTTGACTGATCACACAGCAAACATAGTATTTCACTTTTTAATTACAACTACCTGTTGACAGAAGGAGGCCAAACGCAATTCGATAGCAAACAGAAGCTGTGCAACACAGACATGCCATCTTCTGAGGGCTGGTTTGTATGGGCCAACGTCTGTGAGAGGCAGACCTCAGCAGGAAAAGTTTGACAGTGGCTACAAGTGCACTTAACCAGAACCTCAGTAATCCCTCATGACGGAGATCTAGAATCTGTTCAGACATGCAGGACAAGAGAGACATAAGAGAGGAACGTACACAGCACAGCAGCATATATTATTATTGTGTACAGTCTAAGCCAGTTTTTATACATAATGTAAATGTTACATAAAAGAACATTAAAAAATAAGCTTCAGTTTTTTCACATGACTTCCTCACGCTTGGTGCACTTCTATTAAACCGGCACAATTTGTCATTATGTTGAGACACATGAAACAATACAAAATAATAAAAACCATTAAGTGAAGCTGCAAGTCCCACAGACAGCGATCGGTGCAGCGGGAGGCCTGTCCCTGCCGTGACGTCCTTCTGCCACGCAGGAATGGGCCTTACAGAACGATCCTTTAGGATCTTGGATCTACGTGCGGGGTTTTCGAGAGTGCTCCTCCTCTGCCGTCCAGTCAGTCCGCGCGGTGCGTGGCCCCCCTGGCCGAGACTGCCGGCTGTCACCCACATTCCTCTGCCCTCTGCCCTCCTCCCTCTAGGAGAATTTCCGCTTCTGGATGGCCTCCGCCCGCACCGCCAGGCTCCTAGCGCAGATAGTCAGGACCACGATCAGGATTCCCACCAGCAGAGTGACCAGTGGCCAGAGGACACAGTGCAGCAGGACGTTCTTATCTTGGGAGTGCTTTAACAGCACATCATCTGGCCTGGGAGAAGAGCATGAGAGGAACACAAGCTCTGAATGCATCACCACATGAAAATCTACCACAGTAGAGCTGCACAGCATTCTCAGAGAATGCCTTGCTTCCTTGGCTATAACCATCCTTTTATTAGCTTGTTACGGGTTTTCATAATGCACACTTACAGCATGTTTTATTGTATCTTTCCATGTGCAGAACAGTGTATCACAATACGTTTTTTTTAAGACCTTAGGACTATCACAAACATGCCTCATTGCATGTCTATTATTCATGCTATTAACAATAATAACCTGTCTCCTTAATACCCGGGAAACCACTATTTTGTCTGCTGAAGCACAAAGTGGTTATGCTATATATTCTTCATTCTGGAAGTGAGCAGACTAGAACAATTAAATATTGATTTTGCGACTATTAATCCAAATTCTTGGCGCAATTTCTGAGAAAGATCCTGGAGTGCTTTTCTTCATCTGGTTTACTTCCTGTCTAAAATACGTCCGTGTTAAAAATAACAACCGCCGTTCTGTTTCTTCACCAAAATCTTGGAATGGGTGACAGCGGCTCAATTACATTCCCACCATGCATCTCATTAACTCATTGAACCATTTTATTCAGGCTTTAGACAGAGAGAGAGGCCTAGTTAAATTGGTTAATGATTTGCTGATTGCCTCTGACTCCAGGTCACTTAATACTCTTCTCCTTCTGAATTTCAGTGCAGAATTAAGATGCTGTCTATCCTAGCATTTTATGAGGAATATTGAGGAATCACTGGTACTTCAGTTTATTGGTTTCTCTCCTTAGGCTGCCCTTAGGCTAATTTGTAAATCTGATGTTAATAATAACAATAATTACTTGCATTCATATTCGTACTTTGCATTCCTGAGGATGTCAAAGTGCTTTAAATGTACAGTAGAAGAGGAATCATTGAAGAGCAAAACCCACCTGGATTACACACTATTCTATACTATTCAGTAGCGTGTTATGTACTGGAGGGAGAAATCCCTTCACCAGTTGAATTACGTTTGATCTTTAGGGAGGCTAGATTTTCTGCCCCCTGAGTGGAATTAGATCTCAGGACATTCTACAAGCCTCTGTATGTTAGTTTTTACAAGTTTGTACAAGTTACCATCAATGCTATCCTAAACACACTCAGGATTTATTTACAGATCAAATCTTATAAGAATGCAGTTTTTTTGCATTTTACAGGTATCTCTCTGACACTAGGATATGGAAGCAAAAAGTAAGCACCTTACTAAAGGTAAACTGTCACAGTCTGAGATTATTCTCACATACCATATACCCAAGATCAGCTTCACAAAGTGGATGAGTTCAGTGTTGTTAAGAGAGCTGAAAGCTCTCGCTGTAATCTGTGTAATATTGCTCATTTAAGACCCTTGCTATGATAGTGAAATATTAACGTAACTTTATTTGACTACTGTAAAGCCTTGTTTAACTGCCTTGTCTTCTACAGTACATATTTGCATTACCACTTAACTCTTGTCGTCTTCCACCTGCACTCACTCTCTATGAAATTCAAATAAATGTTCAAGGTTCTGCGCTCACACATAAGGCACTGATTGGCCTACCTCTAGATCATCCTAAGGACTTATTGTATATTTACATTCCAGCTTTCAATTTGAGAAATCGTGATTTAAGCCATCTTACTCTGCTGCTGACTATGGGTGACAGAGCCTTTTCATTTACAGCATCTTATCTCTGTAACTCATTGCCCAAATCCATGAAAGACTATTACTGTCGCTTTTTTTTCCTCGTCTGAAGTCCTGTCATTCCACCAAATTTCTTAATTTAATTTTTCACTCGGCTTCACAAAGTCAATTACTCTGCCTTTTACCCACCTCCTTTTTGTTTCTGTTGTGTAATAAATTGCTATTGTATAGCACTTTTTTTAAAGTGAGTTTTTGAGGTTTTTTTAAAGGTGCTCTAAAAAATTGGATTCATTTTTCTAAATGAAGCTTAAACAGAACTTTGTGTGAGGAGTTTAAAACCTAATCTCTCCCACTTCTGTCTATGTACAAATATCAAGTTTTGTGCAAATGGCTCCCACATCTCTGTCCCAATCCTTCCAGCTCTCACTGGCTCATCCCTCATTACAGGAAGGAGTTCCGACAGCTCTATCCTTACAGTCAGGTTGTTGTTCTCCTTATCCAGGCAAATTCCTCCAATAACACTTGCTAATCAAATCACACACCTTCTCTGCATGACCCAACTAATGAACAACAAAGAACAATTGCAAGAAATGATTTAAGTACTCTATATTACATCACTCTGACTGTATAAAAGACTATGTTGATGCCTGATAGAGTCAATAGACTATTTAAATTGAAAGAAAAAAACCTCTGCATAGCAAATCTGCTCTTTAGCATTAGAACCAAACTATATTCAGTAAACAGTTCAAATCTAGGAGACTAATTATGTCACTCTCCTACATAAAAGGTGTGGATAACAGTTCTTGGAAGACACAATTTCAAGGAATAATGGAGATAGAAACAGTAGGTGGGTCACAGATATCCATTGAGGTCCCTCCACAAATAAGAATTATTGAAATTACTATATCAGGACATTATAGTAAATCTCAATAATAAAATGAACAAAGAACTAGAATCGGAAAAGTTGCAGTTGAAAGGCTTACTGTACTGTGATAAACTAATCTCACCATGCAGCACTAAATTAGTAACATGATTCAGCTAGCAAAGCAGCACAAAGGAGTCTAAAGTCATAGAGGACCAGAAGCAGTTTGCTGTATTTAAAAAGCCCAGCTCTGTAAGGGAGCTATTGCCCAAGTGCATGCTAAACTTTTTCAAACATCAATTTTAAATCAATACTTCGCTGAGCAAATATGTCTTGGAAATCAATGATACAACTTCTGTAACTTTTACCACATTTGTGAGTTCTCTTAACTTGCCAGTGAATCAGTACTGCTTGGCCTAAATCCTGTTCAGTAAGCAAGCATACTGCCACAGCTGGGTAAATATTTTAATTAGAGAATAAATAACATAGTCCTGGCTTGGTTCTATGGTGCAAATATAAGCCCTGGGGGACCTGTCCCTGCCAAATCCTCATCGAAAAGACCTCAGATCTCATACTTCAGAGAATAATTTAGAAAAAGTAGATCACATTGACTGGTCTGTTCTGGGGCCAAACTAAAACCTGTGCACATTTTCTGATTTATCTCCATATGCTGACCTTAAAATGCAATATCCTTTTCAGCCTGATAGCTAAAATGGAGACAGAATGTTTTCACTCATAATTACACAAGTTTTCTACATCACTAACATTGAAGATATCTTTTGAATAAAAAAAAAGGTTTGTTTGCTTTTCATGAAGATAATACCCATTCGTCACCACTCAATGGTACAATTTCTGATTTCAAAGTGAATCACACAGTGTTTGTTGATTATACATGTGTTCTGTAAAGTACTAGAGAAGAAAATCGCACAAATTCAATTTGTGTTAAATATAATCAAATGGAATTTAAACACCAAGGAGAGCTCTGATTTAGACAAAGCTTACAACTGAAAGAATAAGAAAAGTTCTATGTGAAGAAAGGCTCCTCAATTAACAGAAGCTCCAGGTCTATCAGTAGGCTAGATACCTAGACAAATCAGCAGTGAAAAGCTGAGAGCTCAGGGAGCTAAAAAAAAAACCCAGAAACCCAAACTGTGCAGGAATACACCCTAAACTGGGTAGCCCAATTGTGATCCATACTGTATGCTTCATTTTGTACAACTCTAAAGTCCTATATCTGTATGACTATGAAGTGACATCTGTATGACTGTGTGAAGTGATGGCCCTTCCAGGTATCATTCCTTTTAATTCCTCCCTGATCCTCTACCTTGAGATTAGCTGTCAAAGCAAGGATGATTTTCTAAACTCTAAGCCTATGAGCAGGATTTAGGTTGTGTCTCTTTACAGGGTCCTATTACTAGTGCTCTGGCTAAGTACTGTATCCTTTCTCGGGAGATAAAAGATACTTTCCCCCATGACAGTCAGCTGCAGAGTTGTACTGCCTAACTTACTGTACTGTACTGTACCTTCATATAAAGTAAATTCCTTGCAGACCAGTAGCTACCTCCTATCCAGCTGCCTACTGTGGCAATGAGGGATGATAAGGCAAATTTGAGATCACTGGATATGAATGTACTGGGTAGATGTTTGCCAAATTAATACTACAATCCTCAGGGAATCAGAAACTATGTGTCACTACAGGCTGCCTCCAGGACATCTCGTTTCCACGGTTACAAGTTGCTGTTGCCAAGGAGTTTTGGGAGCTTTCAATTCCCAATACATTCACAAAAATAAACACTGCTGACAGAACATATCTTTTCCGAGTTAAATGATACTTAATTCTTCCATCTAGTGGCCTACGCAATAATTAGCCTCACACACTGTTGATGAAGCAAGTCAGGTGTCTGAAACTATCGTCACCTCCACATCAGCAAGCGAGAATATGAAAAGGTGTCAATGAAACTGCCTTATTGCACGGCCTCCCGTGGACATTTTCAGTGCAATTATTTGATCTTTCAGTGGCTCTACAACCTTAATAAAGATAGGGTAACTCTTTAATCTAAAACTAAAGGCAAGATTAATCCAATCTTGGCTGGTACTGTACTGTATGTCTTTCTGAGGCTTTGACTTCCAATTGCTCATTGCAGCTGTCTTCACACTGTGGGTGTGATGAAAAAAGTGAGACTCCAGCACACCAGACTTTATAATAAACTTTCAGGGGAGAAGTGTGGCTGCGGAGGAAGTTATTTTAATTGGCAACATACAAAGTGTCTATTAATTCCAAATGTGTTAATGTACTTCCAAAACTATTTTTTCATTTAAACTGAGGAAAAGGGCATTTAAATTCACATTGTTTGTGTTTTCACTTCTCCTCTTTTCTGTTCTGTTTCTTGAAACAGTAACAGAATACAGTATTTCTTTAACTGCTACGACAAGCACTGGATGTGGACACTGGTGATTTCTTGATTTATTTATTGATATCAAAGCATCTGTCTTACCTTATCTGTAACTATTTCCAGCATGTGTCATTCTAAGAAAACTGATATATATATATATTAAATTATACACACCTAAAAAGTCCTACTCACAGAGTTATAAATTAGTTCCTGTGAATATTTTCTAATGAGACAATTGAAAATGGGAAATAAGATACCTCTTTTTTAAAATTACATCTGCTGTTCCTTACAAAAACAATTTTCTATGAGCTCAGTGATTGTTTTTTGGACAGGAGCATGTACAGTACCATCCTAACCAACGACAATGTCTTATATAATATTTCTTGTGTCACCGAGAGATAATGAACTGTAGGTGCATGAATTTTTGAAAGACCGTGAAAGCAACATAATCCAGTTTTCAACAAGACTTTATGTAAACATACATACAGTGGTGTGAAAAAGTGTTTGCCCCCTTCCGGATTTCTTATTTATTTGCATGTTTGTCACACTGAAATGTTTCAGATCATCAAACAAATTGAAATATTAGACAAAGATAACACAAGTAAACACAAAATGCAGTTTTTAAATGAAGGTTTTTATTATTAAAAAAAATCCAACCTACATGGCCCTGTGTGAAAACGTGATTGCCCCCTAAACCTAATAATTGGGCCACCCTTAGCAGCAACAACTGCAATCAAGCGTTTGCAATAACTGGCAATGAGTCTTTTACAGCGCTGTGGAGGAATTTTGGCCCACTCATCTTT